CCCCTCCCCCCTCCCCCAACACACACACTGCAACAAATGAGAATGGGGATTGGATTTCAAGGAGGGTGGTGGATAATGTAAGGATGTTCTGAGCTTGTCAGTGCTTTACCTTGGCACAGGAGATGTCAGCCACAACAGTGTACTCTGAAAAAGTACTGGTACCCATGAAATGGTAGACAGTTTTACCATTACATGTGAATCTAGAGGTGCCTTCAGGCATTACTCCTTTTCCTTGGGTGCCCCTGAATAAGTTGTAAAAAATCTACAAATTAAAAATTAATTACACAAATGGTATGGTAGCTTGGCAACTTCATTTAAACACGGAATCCCTTCATTAAATTATTTATTATAATTATTTAATTTTTATTTTGCACAATGGTATGTTAATTTATTAATACAGCTTCTCATTATTAATCCCATATAGGTAACTGTCCAATTATTTTCTTAATTGGACAGGTCTTGTTGATATGGGATTAATTAGGCAGCTATATAATTAATAGGTAATGGGATTTCATGCTCCCCAATCAAGAAGTAATTAGACTCAAAAAATTTCTCTGACTGCCAAATTGGACTTGGCCTATGGCCTCATCCAATTTTGTCAGTCCTTGGAATTTTTCTCGTCCAATTATTTCTTTATACAGGGATGCCTCATTTAGCAGAACTAGTTTAAAGAGAGCCCTATGGTATTAAACTTTATTTAAAATCAGAATTCCTTCATTAAATTATTTATTATTATTTAATTAATTGCACAATTTACCTGGCATTAAATTATAAACCTCCAACATTATTAATTTTTATACAGGGTTTGTGCTGAGGTAAACACTTAAAATTTAAGGACTATTCAAGGAGTAAACAAGGACCCATAAATGAATTTTCAAGGAGTATATCAACTAAATATGTCAAGGTTTTAAACGGTGGTTGCACATGGCCGACTTTCATTTCTTCCGATCTTTCTGACTAGATCTATTTCAGAACCATGCAAGTAATGACCAAAGCAAAAATTCAAGGAGTTTTGCTAAAATCGTAAAATTCAAGAGCTTTTCAAGTGCCCTTGAACACGTGAATTAAATTCAAGGAGTTTTCAAGGAGATTAATAAGGAGTAGCATGAACCATGTTTATAGGCTCAGGTCAAACTTCACATAAGAGCTGTATGCATTGAAAACAATGGTCTTGATTCTTTTATGTCATTACAGGTTTGGCTCATGTAAAGTTAAACATTTGTAGTCAGTCCTTAGAGTACCTGATCTTGCCACAGAGATTGGTTTTGGGACTCTTGCAGAATTTACATTCACCACACTGAGGAATGTACGTTGGAATCACATGATCGCCTAAGAAAATAAAAAGAATTGCTATGCTTTAATTCCTTGATTGTGCAGTGGTTGATAGGTAAACATTAGAAGAGCCATTATACGAGCTGAGAGCCAGCACTTACTACTATATATTTTTTAAAGCATCCATGAAGCAATGAATAATCCATTTTACAGTTTGGTCCAGTGATCACCAATAATATTATCAAGTCCAGTTGGAGTTACCCCCCATAGCAAAACTATACTTTTTATCATGCGCGGCAACTCCAACCTCGACTTGGAACTATTATTCATGGTCACTGAACGGAACTGTATAATGGAGGGATTGAGCAACTAGTACATTCAAACCCTCCCCCCTCCCCCTTCCTATCTAGAAGAAATGTTAGTTTACTGAAGGTTACCTTATCCCATCTAGCATGGCTAAAAAACAAATACTGAAAGTGTCCCTGCCTCACCTTTGGACCTCACATTTTTTATTTACCCAACAAGACAAAAATAAAATAAGAAGTATAGTGAATATATTTCCAAAAAGTATTAAGGACAATATTGTTGTCCACAAGGCCCTCCCTCTTCCTTTAGTCCATGCCTCAAGTTTCATGGAATCTATCTTCATGCCCTATATTGGGTACATATGACAGCCCGGGGGGTACTCCCCTATATTTGCTATATGGGTCATGCTGCCAAACAGGGTATATAAAATTGCGCTTACTCTGGGACAGGGTATATGAAATCACRCTCTCTCCTCTCTGGAACAGGGTATCTATTTTCGCAATACTGGAACAGAGTATGGTTTTCAGCGATCTTGCTCTGGAACAGGGTATGAATTTCAGCAATTTTACTCTGGAATAGGGTCAGGGTTCAGAGGGCTCAGCGGCACATCCCTACCTTAAACCAGCAAGAGTACCCCCCGGGTATAACAGTGACATACCAGGTTTGACTTTTGTTACTCCTTTGCCAACGCTCTCCACAATACCACCCCCCTCGTGACCCAGGATACAAGGGAACAGGCCTTCAGGGTCAACTCCACTCAGGGTATAGGCGTCAGTATGGCATACTCCTGTTGCAAGGATTTTGATACGGACTTCATTGGCCTTTGGAGGAGCTACTTCAATGGTCTCCACTGTCAGTGGTTTACCAGCTTCCCATGCAACTGCTGCTCTACATTTGATTGGCTAAAAGAAATAAGCAAAAAAAGTTTGATATTGAAGGTATGTACAGTACTAGGGGCTGATCATCAAAATGGCAAATAGGTCACAAGGACCACAAAGCAGTGTAGCAGTGAAAGTGTAGCCACATGTGTGATGGGGGAAGGAAGGGGAGAGGTTAAAGAGAGATGAAGTTTTAGTGAAAGTTAGCAAAATGTGGATTGCTAAAGTATGAGTCAATTCCAAAGGTTCCCATCCCCCCCCCCCCCCCCCCCCCCCCCCCCCCCCCCCAAGGTATACCCCAGGCATTTGACCATAGTCAAGTTCCATAGAGTGGGGAATTTGATGCTATGTCCGAACGGGCGGGCATTTGACTTTGGACTAAATATAGCTGCCTTATCTAATTTGTATAAATTACCGTATTGCAAAATTTAAAGCTAGGATCGTGCTTAGAGGACTTGATTGAGATGTCATTGAAATCGAATCGCCACTGTACAAAAATTGGGTTTCAAAATACAATCTTATACTTGTCACTTCTTTGAAAAACAGGGTAAGAAAAGCTTGAAATTAAAAAGAAAAAGAAACAAAACTTTTCAATGTGGATGACAGTACAGAATGAGTAGATAAGGATAAGTTTTTGGAGCCCAAAACAATAGAATGCAAATAATATATCCGTTAAATAGTTAGGAAGAAATAGGAGATAGTTAGCGCTTAATTAGACAAAACATAGGAATTCAGTGAGGCATGACAAGGGCACGGGTGTTTACTAGAGTAACAACTCAATACACGAATGAATAGATACGAAAATGCAAACATGTCAAATTATACAATGGAAAAGCATGTACAATAAAATATTGTTTCAGTTTTTGTAAGTGTGTTTAAAAATATTTTAAAATGCACACCCTTGAGTAGCACACATACACTAGTTTACTCATCACGGATCACCTATTTTAACTAATAATTAGACTTAGGCAACCAAAGGTTAGTAAATTAGTTAGCTAGCTATCTATTTCACGGGTATATTATTTGCACTCTAAATATGTTTATGCTAATTCCAAAGTCAGCAAAGATTTCAAGTCTCAATTCTTATAAAATTAAAGCTATAAATGATAAAATGATCACAAAAGGTACTTAGCATGAAACTTGTTGGATGTATACAGGCTCAGTTTTGTACTTTTTAGGTAAAATTAGAGATTCATCTGACTGGAGGGGCGGGCATTTGACCACTTAGTGGAGCCTGAACGGTGGGGCATTTGATTATTTTGTTGGCCCACATGGTGGGAAATTTGACCAATTTTTTCCGAAAAAGTCAAATGCCTGGGGGGTTGCCCGGGGGGGGGGGGGGGATGGGAACCTTTGGAATTGACTCATACATAAATAAGAATGGGGCTTGTCAAACGTAGTTCAACCAGCTCGAGTAACCTCTAGTTTAAAATTACGTTAAGGCTTAACTCTGTGATAATAAACGATATAATAGCTTGATTTAGGTATCAACATTTTTTCGTTATTTCTGTACATTCTGTAAAGAAAGTTCGAGCAAGGGGGGACCATAAAATTCCTGATAGGGGGTGGGGGGGGTCGCCTAATTGCGAGGGTTGCGAGCAAGCACTCCACCTACGAAAAAATATCGAACAAACACAAAAAAAGCGTGCAGGGGTTGTTACGAAAAAATAAATATCGTGCAACATAAATTCGTGCCCCCGGTTCTTGCCCCATAAAGCTCTAATCTCTTAATTCTCACAAAACAAATACCGTACCAATCTTGCAACTAAAATTTGCAGTCTCGTGTCTTGCAATCACTAAAAGCGCAAACTAGTTGGTAAGATAAGAATGTTAACGAACCTTTCCTGCAGTATCTGCCATATTCAATGCTGTACTGATGTACAAATTTACCCTAACAAAAGCTTATTGTCTGCCTTTTCGATGCAGAGAGAAAAAAGAGAACGATCAAGACTTGTACACGTGGGTAAGATCACGTGAGAAATATATGGTACACACCATAACATCTCCTTCAAGATTTGCTAGTCTTGGTCACTATAACTCGCTTGTTTTGCTGTTGTTACCCTTTCAGCCGTCTAGACGACCTTTGTTGCTCATTCTTCACGCGGAGACCTGCAAATCTTTGAATAGACTTTACTAAATAGATTATCAGAAAATTTTGCATGATTGTGCATGAAACCGCAGAGCAAAGTCGGACCAAACACAGCGCGTGATTATCAATATGCCCAGCCAGTGACACGGCACCGTCAAGGTCACGGCGTACTGCTTTATCGTAATTTTGTTCAGATTCATAGAAACTTGGTTCAGCTAAGAAATAGGTATTTAATACCACATTCACTAGAGTACAAACACTAAATGTGTGCAATAGTTATCACTATTTATCAGTTAATAGCACTAATTAAACAAAAGAAAACAATATAACTATCATAAAATAACGTGCACTATTTAGTGATATTTATGTTGCACACTTTTAGTGTTTGTACTCTATTATTATGCACTTATTTTATTTAGTCTAGAGTATATAGAGCTAGATTACCGGTCAAACTTAAATATAAGATGAGAATGCTATACAGGCAAGTACAAGGTACACCATGCTTTTTGCGGGATGCCGCTTATTCGATACATTCGAACTTTATTCTTATATCCATGATTGTCAGGGTTGCCGGCAGTGAAATCTTCCCATAATCCTTCTTGTTAACTTATCTGACCCTTCATAACGTCATCGATATGCGCTAAAAGATCACGTGATGTTCATTTTTCGCTAAGCGTGAATATCTAAAATAATTTCTACTATGGAAATACCGAGTGGAAGAACGTTAGACGACATACAAGGGAGGAAGACTTGATAATTAAATCAACAAAGGTAAGCTCCAAGAGACCTTATTTAATACTTGAACCAAGGTTCTGCATGTAAGTGAAGGGCCTATTGTCTTGAACATTATCACTGGGAGGGGCTAAAATCCTCAAATCCCACCTCCCTACTTTGAAGTCCCTAATATAATGGCAAGATCCCTATTGTCTATAACTTACAAAAAATGAAATACAAACTCATTATTAAAGCCAGTTTATTGCATTCATTGCAGTGAGATTTGCCTAACACCAAAATTTTCCAACCCCCCCCCCCCTCTTTCTCTCTCTCAGCTTCCTGGATATTCACTGTACACCCCCACTACAGCTACACAGCAAATCAAATATAATGGCAAGATGAAATACAAACTCATTTATTCAAGCTGGTTTATTGCATCCATTGCAGTGAGATTTGCCTAACACCAAAATTTCCAACCCCACCTCCCCCTCTTTCTATCTCTCAGCTTCCTGGATATTCACTGTACACCCCCACTACAGCTACACAGCAAATCAAATATAATGGCAGATCCCTATTGTCTATAATTTACAAAAAATGAAATACAAAACTCATTTATTTATTATAAACTTTTATTCTATTCTTTTTTAGTTCAGGTAGGAATTTTTTCTAATGATAATTCTTTTTACATAAATAATAATCCCTCTATTTTATATTGGATTTTGTAAATAATATATATTTTCCTACTATCTAAACTATCTGAACTATCTGAATAAAATCTAGATGAGTGATAAATATCCATGTACATCATATACATATTTTTTGACTTCTTTGAAATTATATTTCACCAAATGAAATATCAATACAAAATTAAAGGTTTTTTTTCAGAAATAATTTTTTTATGCAAAAGTAAGACCACATTTAATGTATTCACATACTCCTATTCTCAGGCTTTTGTACATTAACCTGACACATTTTGATGAGACGCTGGCTGGTTCTGCCAAATAAGGCTTGTAAAAGTTCATTTTCAGCAAAAAGCCCGTCATACTTTTGCATATCATATTGCACTGTCAATGCAAACGTCTTGAAATATCCTGTATTGCATACACATAAGCATGGAAATGCAATGATAGATGGATAAAATTGTAAATTTTGTTGCAGCCAAAATAATTGATTTCCAATATGGGTCTTACTAACACGGGCACCATGTTTTTCTTCCTGAGAGTAAAAACCTTTGTTTAACCCACATAAATTTATTCTCAAGCACTTGAATGTGAGGATACACATGGGAAAACATAATGTTCTAGTCAACATGGCTACCATGTAAGTAAGGCCCATTGATGAAAGGCTTTCAATTTTTTTGAAGAATTTTTGATAAAGTGTTTTATAATGAACTATAATTATGGTAGAAGCAAATGAAAATGTCATAATTTTCATTAAGTGGCAGGGTTGCTATGAAGCAATTTCAGCGGTATTCTTTAGCAATACCATATTCATGAGCGATCATGGTTAATTCTCATAATTACTTTATACCTATTCGATATTTTTAAACTGTACGATTTTCGATAATTTCTTGTTATGTTTTGTATAATTACTGTTTTGCTGCTGTCAATCAAAATTTAAAGTTCTTGCAGCTTAAAAAGCTTCCAAGTGATTCAATGCTTAAACTTGACCAAATTCTAATTTAAACAGCAGTACATAATGCAGCCTGAAAAGAAATTAATCTTGATCAGAGTACTCAAACAAACTGCATGAATAGAACAAGAAAATGTCAACTAATGCCTATGTTTAAGGTCCCTGAAATGTTTCGATTATATCACATTTTTTGATTGTGGAGACTAGAATCCACTGCAAATATTTTTGCAACCTTATGTAAATCAATTAGAAATTGATATTCATAGCTAATTATGTGGATTAAACACATAAAAAGTCCAAAAGCGTCTCTTTTGTTTGACTCATCATCAGTGCACCTAAAATAGTACACAACATCATCAGGTGAATCTGTGTAACACTGATAGTTTTAAAGATGCAATAATTGCTTATAGTATTTCTTGCTTTGATCTTTCAAATGTTAGGTAGTACAGTGCACAGCACCTGAGATCAGAATATCCTTTGCATCCATCCAAGGGTTGGGGAGAAAGGTGTCGTCTTGCAATCCTGGCTTTAGCAAGCCTCGGCACAGCTTCAGCTATGCTATCACAATTCTGACTACTCAGAAGCTGATGATTCTTCAAGTAGCTGTTTTGTAAGTTCGTACACAGTGAACATTACTGCTACTTGTGGACACACCCTGAGGTAGTTGATTGACAAGCCACGATACAGTCCACGCTTTATCCCATTCTCTGTGTACACTGTGACGAACGTACTGATGCAGCCTCTATACTTGTGTCCATCAGCCAATGAACCAGCAAGCTGCATTCTTCGTCTCACAACGTCTAAGGGATAGCTATAGAAATGAAAAAAGCATCCATCTGTGAGATGGCATCAACCAACATAAAGATAAAGAAAAGCCATGTAACATATTCATGTATTGGCTCAATTTGGAGGACATAACAATACGTTTTCAATTTTCAAGTTTGAAATTCTTTCACTTTTTCCTCCAAATTGAGCTGCTTTTTTTTCTTTTTTTTCTTTTTTTTTTTTGCTGGCAAATTTGCTTTTGGTTTTGTTGCAGAAAAAATTTATTATTTCTGTTGTAAATAGCCATTAAGACAGTTTTGCCGTCGTTGTTGCCAGGTATTATACCTAAGGCAGCTTTTAATATTTATGAAGCTCTAGATTATACTTACGCAACTGTCTGTGAGGAAGCTCCTGACAATGCACCACAGACCAGACCTCCAGAAGCTGTTAATACTGTGTCTCCAGAAACAGGATGTACTCTGGTCATTGGGCCATTCATGGATACTATGAAATCCTTGAAGGACTCAAAGGCATAGAATCCAAGACCTTTGGAAAATGCAATAAAATAAATTATATAAGTTTAAATGGATAAATAAAAGCAAAATGAATGAATAAATAAATAAATGAACGAACGAACAAAAGAATGAGTGAGTGAATGGGTTAGCAAGGTAAGTCAAGACTGACTGACTGACTGACTCTCTCACTCACTCACTCACTCACTCACTGATTGACTGACTGACTGACTGACTATGACTGACTGACTGATTGACTGATTGACTGAAAGAATGAATAAATGAAAGAATAAATGAATGAATAAATGGGTGAGCAAGTGACTGACTGTCTGACTGTGACTGACTGACTGATTGACAGAAGGACAGATGGATAGATGAGTATTACACAAATTAAGATCATTATTGGTTAATGAACTTCTTTCTCTTACCTACAGCAGGAATCATTGCCAATCCAGTGGGCATGAATCCCTTGTACAACGCAGATATTCCACCCTCAGTCATAAAGATCTGTTGAAGTGTCTGGCAAATTCCACAGTACAGCTGCTCATCTGCAACCTGGAATGCAAGCCTGGACCTTACGACATCTAGTGGATAGGTAAAAGCACATGCCGTAAAGCCAGCAAGTGCTCCTGCTAGAATCTTTCCAACATGGCCATTGTCGAAGCTATGTGAGAACACATCCTTGAACTGTTCATAAGATACAAACTGTATAGCACCATATGGGAATACACGTACCATCATTGCTCCATTCCCTATAAAGGAAAACAGAAAAAAATATCGACTAAATATATTTTCAAACAATCTCGCTCTACTGGTGGAACTCTTGTTCAACAGTAGCTCTTGCTCTTTCGATTACTGCAATTATTATCAATATTCTGCAAACTCAAACATTTCAATGGCATGTTGTAAGATTGACATTTTTGCAGCCATCAGTCAGGAATGCATAAGGTGCTCATTGATTATCCTTGAAGTACTGGCAGCAAAAACCAAATTCCAGCATGCAACTCACAAAATTGCACTATCAGTTTGCAGAGTATGAAAATCCATGGTGAAAGCAGGAAAAAAATTCTGATAACACTTTGATATAATTGAGTTCACACTATAAAACTTTCCAATATTATGCAAACTTTTTTCCCTTAATGTAAAAGGTCCTAACTGATTAATTTTGATTGGCAGCATCGAAAAAACCAAATCCCTGCATGCAGATTGCAGATCGTATTTGTCTACCCTGGGAACCAAGTTTGCATAATATTGGAAAGTTTCATAGTATGAACTCAATTATATCAAAGAAATTTTGTTTAACGATTGGGCATTATTGAAAATTGCTGACATTGTTAAATATTTAAAAAATTAGTAGAAATTTACCTTTATAGTATCCACGGGTTCCTTCTTTCTTGTAAATGGCTTTCAAGGCTTGGTATATACCTATTGACATGCATTAATGAACTCATTAACAAATTGCATGACTAATTTTTAATGTCAAGGGTAACAAAATTTAATGAATAAAATTAATTTTCCAATTAAACTTACTCATGTCCTTGTAGTGATGGTTCTGGGCTTGAAACAGAATTTTTAACCTTTCTAAAGGTGCCGTCGTTGTTTTGGCACAGCATGTTGATAACCCTGAAGCAAAAATAACATGAATAAATCTAATAACTAAAGCCACATGGTATCTAAATAAGGTCAATAATCTAGAAATGAAGCCAAAACATTTTTTGTTCTTTAAAAAAATTTTAGATTTGTGCTGAAAGTCAAATAAAATTAAATCAAATAGTTTAGTTTAGAAAATAAGTTCTTTAAAATTGTCAACCCTAACATGACAATATTTGATGGACAATTTTTGCTTGCGTCTTTATTTTGTTCTGCTTATCAAAATTCGTGTTGATTTGCATTATTAAACAAACAAGTGCCCGTGAAATCGAAATTGTTGTACATGTATTTGATTTTAAAAATTAAGGTTTCTGGAAGCTTCTGTTTATGGGAGAAACTTGATATCCATATGTTTCTAGATTATTCGAAACGTGAGACTCGCCGACTGCTGTCTACAAATATTGAAGATCGCAGAATATAAGCTAGTAAAGCGTTTAGCTCAAAAATGAACATTCACAGTTTACATATAAGCTTACTATACAACGAACTAAAATCGTACAAGCTCGGGGGGGAAAGCCTCAGTGAATCGATTGTGCTTTATTATAAAATACTATCTCATTCTTTGAGCTTGAAATTGAAATAGGATATGATCGAGCAACCAGCTAAAATGCATATCCATAAGCTTACAATTTTTTCAAACTCCAAGCTGCGCGTTTGTTGAAGACTCACCTCCAGCTAGACAAGATCTAAGCACTTTGCTTTCAACCATCCTTGCTCTGCTTTAGAGACTCAAGTAAAAAAACGCTGAATAAACTCGGGCTTGAATCAATGAATGGCAAGCTTGATCCTTTCCAAATATCAGAATATGAGATGCACAATGTCGTTGTCTTACAATTTGAGAAAATACCAGTGAGACTCGGATCCTTTTGGGGAAAAAATGCGAGCTTCCTCTCTCTGCTCTCTCCAAAACCAACTGACCATAGATTTGAAGAGCAACCGTTTACAAAGATTCGAGATCACGTCCGATCGCTGGAGAAAGCCGAGTTGCGAGCCTTGAACTGGAAAACCCGTTTAATAACGTGTGTATTTGCACGACGTCTGCTCACGCACCACAATAATGAAGTTCACGAGATCAGGTCAGGAGGGACCACTATTACACATATTTCCTCAAATTCTTCCTCCTAAATCTTATTAACCTATCCAAAAATCAATTTTAAAAGGAAAAATAAATCTATTGCTTTGATTTCATACGACGAAACTAAAACTAAATCGGTTTTTCAAGAGAATTTTGGATTAAAGCGCGTTTACTTCAAGGACAAATTTTAAATGGAGATAAACAAGGATTCCCCCTGAACACGAAGTGTTCACGTGCACTAGTAGTTGAATGTCAACAAAATGGGTCACGAAAGTCTATAAATTTAGTAACGCTATTAATTTCAGGTTTATCTTGATATTTTTGGTTGTTTTGTACGATGCTGGCAAAATTCCGAAAAATATTTGCTTCGAAGCCACATGAATTTAATTCCTCGCGCGTGAAATTTCGCTGGAAAAAGAGGTGTTTTTTGCTATTAAAATATTCTTTTTTCTCTCTCTCTTAAAGCAATCTTTTTTTACATAGGATTCTTGAATGTTTTTGATCTTTCATACCTGTCGTTCAGGAAAAATACAGGTACACGTAAAAACCTGTTAGGAAATGCGTGATCTGCTGTTTTTAGCTGGTACCCCTACCCACCCATCCCCCCATCCATTCCTACAAACTGTGGACGTGACCGTGCTATTTATCAGACTATTTATTGGCTTCTACTCGCTTTGCTACGTTGTGTAAACTTGGGAGAAAATAGCTTTATAGTTAGAAGTAAACATGACTCATAGGAAAAATCTAAAGATGCTAGTAAAATAAGATTTTTTTTATACATTCACGGTTCAGCCTTTCTTCTCTTTCCTTATTCTTTTTTATTCTTTATTCTTTTATCAATTTATTTTATTTTTGGATAATCATGTTATTGAGCTTCAGCATATGTTTTGAAATATATTTTTTTTTAATTATTGTTTTTTAATCTTAAAATTTGAAAACATATAATCATCTATTCTATCTTGTATTGTTAACCTGTTTCAGTTTGGTTGTCAGGCCAGTCCTGTTTTGAAAATGATCTGTTTTTGTTATAAATTATTCAAAGCGTCCCATCGCAATATACACGTACAAGTTGACAACAACACGCATCGACAATGAACTACAACATTCCTTCGTAGGAGGGGTAGAAGAAGACATGCAGATACCAAGCTTACAATTCATCGATTCAAGCCCAAGTTTATTCAGTTTTTTTATCCCGTTTGTTTGGCTTCGATGGGCTTAGCAGGGCAAGAATACTGTATACACAAAAAATTACCGATACTGTCATCTTTCTTTTAAATTGATTTTACAACTTTTTTAACTTGTGGGCTCCCTGTGCTCTTGCGTTCGTGTCTTGAGACTCATGACGTTACACCTGGAAAATGCATTGATAACATAGTGTAAAATCGAAGCAGAGTAATAATTTTTGATTTTATTTGAGTCAAGGTAATGCATGGATTAAGAGACAATAAAAAATAACACAAAAACACAGATAAATAGAACCTCCCAGCTACCCCATGGAAGGGGGGGGGGGGGGTTGGGAGGGATGAGACTCGACGTACGACGGCAACAACACGCAAAGTTGAATAACACGACGCAATCACGTGCACGCGCTTATGCATACTGTATTCTTTCATATATTGTGAGCCATGTATCTGAGCTACATAATGTTTGGATCTATAATTTACCCTGCTGAAATTATTTTCGTATCATAGTAAATCATTTAATGAATATTTTGTAATGATTTTCGTGCATTTTAACTGAGATTTATTCTAAACATGTCCCTTAACTTGGCTCTGCCAATCAGGTTCCGTCTTCAAAACCGTGCGATTTCTCACACCTCCAAAGAAAGACACTAATAAGAACGTGATGTGACTTTACTTTTGATTTATTAGAACAAAGGCGTTAACATAAGGCCATAGCCACTGATAAGACACTATGGCAGCCACGCATCAAAATTATTCACGTTTATCGATCGTTATTGACAACTGAAGTAAAAGTCCGTGATGGATATGAACTTGGTGGCTTTTCATTCGGATGTTTCAATTTGACCTCATTGAAAATTCGAATGCCACTTGGAACTTTCCATTGCTGATTCTTTCTGTTTTTGATACGCAATTCTAATTTTGGAATGTCAGGGCATAGTCAAATCTTATTGGATTCCGTCTGATTAGCACTTTTTTGCCTATGTTTGTGATATCTCTTGGTTATTACAGACTATATATGGCCTCAGCAACGTATGATCGAAGAGCATAGGACTATAGTATGAGAAATGAGCAGGTCATGGTCACCGCAAGGGATATGCGTAGAATAACAACTTCCTCGCAGAGAACTCCATTCAGTTATAAAAGTGGCCGGATATTATTTTTTAACGGTAACGGTACGGCAGCCTTGCGTATCGCAACATTTCGCGTATATTCAATATTCAATGCTTCAATTAAAGTCACAGCTACGGATATATATCTTTTATACACAGAATAAATGTTTGCGGGATGTAGCAGCTGTGATCATTTTAACCTATCTTAAGGTGGCCGGCAAGTAGATGACTGTTTTTGGCGCCCTACTTTCACTGTAATCTATAGATAACTAAAAACCGCAGTCTTGTTGGTCCAAGATAACTGACAAGTACGTCAGTGACGGATAAAGGTTGCAGAGTGGCAGTCGCACGATGCAATCATATGCATTCCATCAAGTCCCACACTAGTTCTAATTCCTAGCCAGTCCACTATATATAAATAAGTAAAATAGTAAGCTAAACAGGTGCGTTGAAAACGAGATACCACAGCTAGGCCCAGATTCCATATCACATTCGTTGTTCTTCATCAGTTTTGTGTGTGTTTTGTTGGAAAGGGAGGTGGGGGGTACTATTTTGACGGCAATTTACACACTTGGACCTGCAGTAAACGGAAGGGGAGGGGACTCCTACTATATGTATAAGAGCGGGGATGCTCGTTGGATATTTTGAAAATGACCCCTAAGAGATACCTTCAGGAGTCTTGTGTCCAGCTAATCGGTGTGGCAGCTAATGATTTTTATCCCTATGAAAAGGTTTATCTATGATTAGTACTAAAATATGTCATTCTCACTTTCTAAGAAACCTTAAAAGGTACCAAATTGCAGGTCCCCTATAAAATGTACGACGGGCATCCCCGCTCTTTTCCAATCGGACTCAAGTAGGACGAAGCCATTTTATCATCATCATTCTTCAATGGTCCAAGCCGAACGGCTAAATTCGGAGCCATATCACGTTGTGGAAGGCACGGAGTAAATCTGAGTTTAGACCTGTAGTCTAAATCATTGGAGGGAATTTCATGCCAATTCGCACGTTTACTGGCACGTCCACTTTTATTAAAGAAATATCCAGGGAGCTCGAGGTTAATACAACTCGACCTAAGCAAAATCCAGATGTAAAATACATCAGATATGTAACAGTAGATCGATCAAGTGAGCAGCAACTTCACCGTGTTTCGACTTGCCATGCGTTAAACGGATCTGCTTGTGACGTCATCTAAGGGGTCAGAAAATATTGAGCAAGCATGACCCTCGATCATGCTATGAAGTACCAGAAATATATCTATGATCATTTTAGCTACTTTAGTCGTGGCATAAAAGATTTTGTAATATTTCTACTGGCTCACAAGCAGTTCTAGGTTGGGGAGAGCTTCAAATATATGTATCAACGAAGGGTTATTCCGTTTAGTATTTGCATGTCACGGACAGTGCGCGGTTTATGGATGGAAGGAAGTTAAATGATGTCGTCATATCCAGGCCGTGCACACACGTCTTGACCATGATAATCCCTAATCGTAATCGCCAGCTGCTTTTTTACGAATAAAAGTAATAGTTTTTCATAAACATTGGTATTATAAAAGCTGCCAAGTTACATTACTGTTGAAGTTAACGAATAATGGTTTGCTCTTAAACGCGTCTAAACTTGTGCAGATTCTGAAGTGTAACGCGGCGAAAGCGTACAACGGGCCTCTCAAGACCCAGGATCGATTCCTGGAGTCGGTGTCATGTGTTAGTAGATCGAGTTGCCTGTTAGTTCTCTCCTGTGCTTTGAGGGTTTTTCTCTGGCAGGGGAGTATCCGGTTTTCCTTCCTCCGCAAAATCCAACCTCTGAATTCCAAATAGAATTCCATGCAGTAGATGAAGAGATGTAGAACGAGATTCGGCCATTGTCGAATATCCCATTAAATCTCGTCAAATCCGATTATGGTCTAGTCTCCCCCATAGCCGCTTTCAGTGTCGCCACGCAACGCTTTCTCCCACACTGAAAGCGGCTGTGGGGGAGAGTAACTATGGTCCCGCTTGAGACCGAATGAGAAAAGGCCTATTCAAGCTTGCTACTCAGATTACAACAAATTAACAATGCCAGAGAAGCGCACTGGTGTGTCCATGAAATGTTTTTAACCTCTTGTTCAGTTGTTTCTGCTGTACCTAAAACAGACCTTATCAAAACATGGAAGCAGTGCACCAGTGGCCAACCTAGCTTGGCAAGTCCGATTAGTCATTGCGCGCGCAATTGGTCCCAAATCTTGGAGGTTTCTCTCGGCGTAATTACAGCCGCCGCTCTTCGTACCCCAAATGACTCTATGTAGCAAACAGCATGTCTAATGGTTGACTGTTTGTTTTTTGTCCCCACCCACCCTCCCCCCTCCCGACCCCTGATTCATGCCTATGGCCTTCCAAAGAATCTATACTGATTATTGCCGGCACTGAAATCATTATACTTTTCACGTGACCAACTATAGAATCCATTCCCGTATAACATGCACTTGAGCTAAACGACCAGCTGCTCTTGACGTACTCGACCGTGGTTATAAGAGACAACATTTGTTTACAAACATACAATACAGATAAATACGTGGCTAATCTTTCAAAACAATACTCATTGAAATCGTATAAAATACACTATTATATCGGTGCTAAAACTGATTAAGACCAATA